TGAGAGGGGCTTTTCGCCAGTCAAGCTCCTTACCTGGGGGATTCTGAGACCGGGGTTTCCCTAGAGCTAGTCGCTGCTTCTGCCTGGATTTACCTCTTTGCAAAATGGTTCTAAAGATAAAGGCAGCGTGTAATTAATAACCATAGAATCCTAGGACACTAGCACTGGAAGGGACCTTGAGAGGCCGTCAAGTCCAGTCCTGAGAGGGGCTTTTCGCCAGTCAAGCTCCTTACCTGGGGGATTCTGAGACCGGGGTTTCCCTAGAGCTAGTCGCTGCTTCTGCCTGGATTTACCTCTTTGCAAAATGGTTCTAAAGATAAAGGCAGCGTGTAATTAATAACCATAGAATCCTAGGACACTAGCACTGGAAGGGACCTTGAGAGGCCGTCAAGTCCAGTCCTCTGCCCTCACGGCAGGACCAAGCACCATCCAGATCCCTGATGGTGTCTGCCTAACCTCCTCTTAAATATCTCCAGAGATGGAGATTCCACAACCTCCCTAGGCAACTTATTCCAGTGTTTGACCCCCCTGACAGGTAGGAAGTTTTTCCTAATGTCCAACCTAAACCTCCCTTGCTGCAGGTTAAGCCCATTGCTTCTTGTCCTATTCTCAGAGGCCAAGGAGAACAATTTTTCTCCCTCCTCCTTCTGACACCCTTTTAGGTACTTGAAAGCTGCTATCCTGTCCCCTCTGTCTTCTCTTTTCCAAACCAAAGAAACCCAATTTTTTTCTGTCATCCCTCATAGGTCGTGTTTTCTAGACCTAATCGCTAGAGACGTGTGGAGGTTTGTAGCACATTGTAAGGTCCCTTGATGAAAAGTGCAAAGTGACAGATGTACCGTAAAATCGCGAGTATAATGCGCACCTATGTATAATGCGCACCTATCTTTTCAACGTCAGAATCCTGGAGAAAACTGAACTCCTATATAATGCGCGCCCCCATTATACTCGCGATTTTATGGTATATATAAGAAGGAAGGGGCCGCTCCCACCTGCAGGCTCACTCGGGAAACACGTGCTCAGCACCGGGGAGCCGGCGGCAGAGTTTGAAACCTGCTCCCCCGCCCCCGTGCCCAGCTGCGCTGAGCTGCTGCCTGCCACGGGACCCCTTACCCCCCCCCCCCTCCAGCTGCC